CTCTGCCTCATATAAAAAGTGGAAAAAAAAAAAATATGATAAAACAAGAATGGAGAGACAGTAAGCTAGTAACTGGAAATGCAATACATCTGTAGATGCAGAATTGTGAAGATCAATAATTATGAAAAGCACTAAATCCAAAGGAAGTACTGATACTGACTAGCCAGGATTATGGAGCTAACTTTCCCTCTCAAGGAATGAGTAGTAGTCAAGCTTGACCCTTAATTAGTGTGCCCCCTACAGGGTAAATCCTTCAACTTAGTATAAAAATACTATTCTAGTGCTGGACAGTGCAGGACAATACACATCAGAAAAAGGAACAGCAGGTAAATGATGCAAGCAATGGATAATTAATGGATGCAGAAAGATCATCCAAGCTGTAATGTTGATGAACCTCTAGCAAGACAGTGATAGAGTAATGGTGAATTTTTTTTTTTCGGGTCACCCAACTTCAGTGAGAGATGGCTAGTGTGTTAAAAAGAAAAAAAAATTAGAATGTAAAAATTAAAAATAAATAAATGCTGCACATAGCAGAAGAAATCCTATCTTGATCTTTAAGTTCAGTAAGCACTGGTCTGCTGGAAGTTCTGAAGTATTGTCCCCTTAACCCCTTCAGGGTCCAAGGCCAAAATCTGAAGTGGTGCTCCAGTGTCCAAGAAATTTTGAAAAAAACAAAAAACAAAAAAAAAATCAGAATTAAAGAGCATATTTTTGTGAAGGCAATAAGACAAAAAAAAAAATTTCTGATCAGTACTTACTGAGATACAGTGCTGAGAAGTTTGTCCAAAATGAGCTGGTGGCGGCAACATTGACAATTTCCACATCGACGATTTCCACATACGCGCATTACTTTATTTAGCAGTTTTTGTAGTTTTTTCTTTTCTTTTCCAATTTTTTTCTTTTCCTACTAACATTTGGGGCCAAAGATACCAATACTGTATATAATGTATATATATAAACTCACTGTATTGAACACAATAACCCCACTAAAGTTATTATATTATTGTTTACCACTGTTGTTTTTACAATAAACATGCACAAATCTTGTATAATACTAATGTTCTATCATATATTTACATATTTACAATCACTGGACATGGTTTTAGAACTGCTGGAGCTTGTGGAACTCCCTGAAACAAGGCACCATGCACAGAAGTTGTTGCCTGGTACTTCATTATGAGTTGTCTGACAACAGACAAACAAAATTCACCATACAGTGGTCTGTTGCCAGTCTTAATTTGGTACATATTATATGCATTGAGCATTGAAATGTCCATGAGATGGAAGAAAAGTTTCATGTACCACTTGTAACTTTTACGAACACAATCAACAAAACCAATCTGCATGTCACATTTGTCAACCAAGCACATGTTTTGTGTATAATCAATCACTGTCACTGGTTTTCGAATATGTTCATTAGTCACTCGATCAACTTTGTCACTGTCTTGCATTTCAATACGGTGAATGGTTGTCAACACTGTGACATCTCGTTTGTCATGCCACCGTAATGCCATGATGTCATTGGCAGTAAACACCTGCACGTCATCACCACGAGCACCTGCGTTGAGCCTGGGCATATGTTTACGATTAGAACGCACTGTGCCACACACATCTGTCTTGTTCACTCGCAAGAAATCACTGAGTAATGGGCTTGTGTACTAGTTATCGGTATATAATGTATGCCCCTTACCAAGATAAGGTGCCATCATGCTTCTCACTACGTCACCTGAGATACCCAATAACATCTTGGTATCTTTCAATGTTTTACTTCCCGTGTATACAACAATATCCAATACCAGGCCACTGTCACAGTCAAAGAGTACAAACAGTTTTATACCAAAGCGTTTCCTCTTGCTCGGTATATACTGCTTGAATGACAGCCTACCTTTGAACAAAATCAAAGATTCTTGAATGGATAAAAGTATATGCTGAACTTTTGTTTGAGATACATAAAAACATTTCTAATCTTGTATAACCTGTCACTTCTGTCAGGCCTGGTTTTGTCAGAGAAGTGCAACATACGTAACAGTAAGATAAACCTGTTCACTGGGATGATTTCACTGAAGACCGGGGTAGAAATTAGCCAATCTGTGGACCAGTATGCTTTTATATTATGCTTATAGACATGAGGCATAAGCATTATTGTTGCAAAAAGCAAATACATTTCTGCAACAGTCGTCTCTTTCCACCGGTGTAGTCTTGACTGTGGTGATATGATCGTATTTGCCATGGTGTACTTAAAATACTTATTACTTTCCCTGACAATAGTTTCCATCAATGGCTGGTCAAAGAATAATTCAAAGAATTCCAGTTCATTGGCCGTGGTTCCAAGGGGACAAGTAGGTAGAGTTCCACTTTGAGAGTCATCAAAGTGGTGGGGCTTGGGAACAAAATTGGGATTTTGCTGCCAATCCCAGATACGGTTTACTGGTGGATACTGGACATCATAGGCTGGCTGTGCGGGTAGTTGTAGTTGTGGTTGTGGTGGGCTGGTGGCTGACGCTCCGCTTTGTCCTTGAACTGAGGAGTCAGCAGCGTGGGTCCCAGCCTGGGCTGGTGAGTCACGCATGGCCGTGGCACTACCATCACCACTACCACCATCTGCTGATGCCTGTGGTCTATCCATGCCAAGTGTAGCCACATCATCCTCACTATCACTATCTATACCTGGTGTAGGGCCACAGGATGTACTCTAGGATGTACTCCAGGATGTACTCCAGGAGGTACTCCGTCCCCTGGGCACAGCATAGGGTACACTACCCGAGCGCATGCGGCGGCGTACATACTGACGCTTCACTGGTGAATATGATTCCTCACTATCACTACTCGAATGATCGTCAAGAGCAATAAAATCACAATCCATGTCACTATCATCATCATTACTGAAGTCAGAGGCCTGGCCACGCGAAAATAATAGTTTTCTCTTGCGTTGAGGTACAACCGACTGTGACTGAGGAGTGCCCACACCAGAGGTAGAAGGCTGAGGATTGTCAGGGTTTTCTGCACTATTATCGATATCCTGGTCATTCCTTTCGGTCACTAACTGATCAAAGCCAAAGCATTCGTCTTCATTTCCACTTCCATCAGTGTCAAAACTATCAGATAGGAAGAGGAGAGTCCCAATTTTCCATGGAGTGAGAGCTGCCTTGCGACGAGGCATGGTGAACAAGGGTAACCGAGCTGGCGTTCCCACAATGCTATGCGGGCGCCTAGATTTTTTGTTTATGGTGCACACCCACCACGCAGACCTGTTCTCTCACATGTAGGCCTATGAGCGCTTTTGCGCTAAATTTGATGGCGCTAGAATTTTGGCATAGATCTACGGTTTGGACACTCAACGTGAAGTCGTAGATCTACGGGAAGGACCCTGAAAGGGTTAATAATTATTGTTCACTCAGCATATATACTTATTAGACCTACTTTTCATTGGAACATTTTCACATTCTACCATTTTTTCCCCACTTGCACATAGTGGAATACTGAAGTGTGCAGCTTTGAAAAAAGTCTACAAGCTAATTCTCCTAGTGTAAATTATGACTGATATTGTTCAACTGCCCTGTGTGGTAAAATTTGAAACTTAATGCTAGTTTCCAATAATTAAAATGATTAGTATGTAATACTTTATGTTATCTCAGCAATTTAGCCAGCCTTCAAAAACAATTATTAACCCTTTGACTGTTGCAAGCCTCTTTCTGAAACTGTCATTCTATCCAAAAATACTTGAAAAAAAAAAATTCTTATGAAATGATAGAATCTTTTCCCAATGCTAATGACAAAATTTGATTGAAAACTTACGGAATTACGCTCCCGCGGAGTTAGCGATCTCGGCAATACATACACATCGGCGATTTCGACGAATTTGAGCCCTATTTTCGGCCAATTCCATTGTTCCAGTCTACCAAACTCATACCTATTTTGCTAGTATTCCTTCTATTCTGTCGACTGAGTACAAGAAACCTCCCATTCACCTATTTCAACTACTCAATAAAGTGGTCAAAAATCAGTAATTTGGCCAATTTCACACAAATTCCAAAAGATGCCCATTTCAAAATAGGGTCCAGAATAAACAATGCAGACATTCCTGGCACTAAAGGCATTTTAATCTCTTCATTAGTGACGTCTCCAGGCCCCTCTTATATTACTCTTTGCTTTCCATTTTGAATTTTTATTCACACACAAAACAGATTTACTGTATTGCAGACAACTGCATTATTGTAAAAATGGTATAAATAATATCAGTGCACTAGTGAAAGAATATTAGACTCCCCAGTTAATGTATATTGGATGTGTGGTGTGATTTGTTTACTCTTGAGCATTGGTAAAAATCGAACATTTCCGCTACTTTGAGTTCAATTTCAAGATCATTTTCGTCGTGAAACTAATCAAAATCACCACTATTTCTGTAATATATTTTCCATTCTAGCAAATGAGACCATGAAAACGAGAATACAACCATAAATACTATACAAAAATACACCTCAAAGTCGGCGTTTTAATCCAAAAATACAGTCGGAGTTTTGTTTCTCATTATGCACTGCATGCTGCAGGATTTTTTTTTATACAGTACACACTGACCACACAGACCCATTCTCTCACATGTGGGCCTACCAGCTTCTCCTGCTTGATTTGAAGCCACTAGAATTATTGAGTATATATACGGCCAAAACAGTCAAAGGGTTAAAATGTACCCAAATTTAGAGCACTAATGATATACAAGATACCACTGCTTTATTATATTCACAAAAGCGCTATACTCGTTGCACACTGGCATATAATCAGCAGCAGTAATTATCCTAAAATTAGAATACTAGTCTTATAAACAAATAATTTACATAGCATCTCTGTAAATTTCTTGTTAATCAGTGAATGAAGTTAAAGAACACTTGAGGAAAAATGTGGTGGAACCCATTTTCCTGACAAGTCCTTCCATGACCGTTTAATGCCACCAGTCTACTGAACCTACAATTTTAACTATGTTAAAGATAAATAACAAACAAACATACATTAAGTTGAAATTTAATGACTAAAAACCAAATGACATGCAACATCAGTTGCAAGATCATTATGCTCCATACATCAACACACTAAACATTAGTCTTGAAAATAACTCTCAGAGCAATTTTTTTGTATTTTTTAACTACAATTGCATTTACCCTACCTGTATCATACTGTACCTTGCCTTATATGAAGTTTTATTCTAGGCAATTACAGTACTGCTTAGCTTCTTCTAGAACTTGAAGTCCTTATACTTTTTAGTTGGTTTATTCTGATCTTGTTGTTGCTTTCGTCTTTTATTACGTTGTTTAGCTGCATGCTCAGCTACCATATCAGAGAAATCCTCTTCTTCTCCTTTCTGTTGTTCTCTAAGTGTAGCTTCATAACGTGCAGCCATGGCATCTGTATCTACAAGATCAAGCTCAGAGGGATCAAGGGCCACTTCCACTCCCTGTGTGGCTGACCTGCTAGCAATACCACTAGCTGCAGCTGCACCAATATCGTAGGTGTGTGTTGAACCCATCATTGCTCGCCCCATGGTCTCTGTCCGCTTCTCAGGTAGAATTGTATACAGAGCAGGAGTGTCACCCCCTTCCATTTCTGTTTCCATTCGTTTCTTCCTCAATTCAATCATGTCAGGTGTCTCAAGACCTGCTGGTAGTGAACTAATGCCAGAAGGAGTGACAAGACCAGTTTCCCCAGGAGTTACAAGCCCACTTACATCTTCATCTGATTCATCTTCACTCTCTTCTTCAGATTCCTCTTCACTTTCACTCTCTAATTCTCCCCAAAGAGTCCTCTCTACCTCCTCTTCTGTTAAAGGAGTGTCAAAGTCCTTGCCTTGAGTGCCAAATACATCTCCGTAAATAGGCTTTCCCATATTGTCAACAGGTGGCTTACCCCATCCACCAGCATGGTAACCAAAACTACACCCTTCTGGTATAGGAGCATTAAGTCCTGGTATCTTCAAATTTGGGTAGGATGGAGGAGGACCATAACGTTGCATAGCAATTAACCAAGGTGGAGGAACTTTGTGAGCATTGGCTCCAACAGGCATACCAAGAGCTATTCTCAGGTCATCACTCATCTCTCCGGGTTTCTTGTCTTTCATTTTTGTCTCAAACTCCTTACCTTCATAATAAAGGTCCCCATGAATTGTCATCTTAGGTTTAGTTTGCCATTTGAAAAAGGCATCATGAAGTTTTTGGTAATCAATATCAATCTTGCCCATTTTTGGCCTCACTTTGTCTCTCATTTTAGCTTTAAGTGTTTTTTGATCTTCCTTTTCCTGAAGTGCTGCTCGCATTTCCATAATGCCAGTGCGCTTGATGAAATCAGGGAGCTCAAAGGGTGGTTTTTCAATACCACGTTTTCCTTGCAAATATTTTCGCTTGAAGCACCAATGGCGTGGCACAGGAACGGTGTTTCTTGTGGCTTTCAGATGAACAAGTAATTTTGGATCCTTAGCTGTTACATCATGCATTTCAACTACATCTGGGCGACTGACTGTCTGCTTCAATTCTGCAATGCTCATGCGTTTCAAAAGTTTCATTTTTCTTTTAGATAGCTTTGGTTTATCATCATCATCTTTCTTCAGATCGTCATCATCGTCGTCGTCGTCATCATCATCAAGTGGAATGCCTGGTACTTTGGGTCCAATTTTTTTATTAATATCTACTAAAGGAATCTCTACTTTAGGCATTATCTTTTCCTCTTCAAGTTTTGGTTCTGGCTCAGCAATTCTGAATGCTTCAAAAATCTTTGAAAAATGATGATAGTTAGGATCTGTTATATCCAGTTCAATCAAGTCTTGGATATACTCAATTTCTACATTAGGATCATCTGCATCACTCTTTTCTCGTTTCATCTGCTCCTTTCTCTGTCTGTCCATTTCTTCCTGGAAATGATGACGACCTTTTCTTTTCTTCTTCTTCTTTTTCTTCTTATCCTGTTTGTTTTTCTGACTAGGTTCCTCTGGAATTTCATCATCATCTTCTTCATAGACTGGAGGTATAAATGATGTTTGGGATTTGGTCATGGAAACTGTGGTTCGAATCTGAGGTGGCCGATTTTCCAGCTCATCCATCCTGGCTAGCCCTTCTCTTTCTACCTTCTCCACGTCTTCTGGATTAACACCAACCTGTCAATAAATATACAATAATATCCAAGATGTTATAAAATATATTTTATCAGTAATAAAACTACATGCAAAATTTTTCTTAGCACTTTTAAACTCCTAAAATCCAATCACATGGGCCAAGCTATGAATTGCCTTTAACCCTTTGAGGGTCGACAGGCCCTCTCCGAAACTCGTTCTCAGGGTCGGCCAAATTTCAAAAAAAAAAAATTATTTTCTCTTATGAAAAGATAGAGAATCTTTTCCCGATCATAAAGACACCAAAAGTTTGAAATTTGATAGAAAACTTACGGAATTATGCTCTCGCAAAGTTAGCGGTCTCGGCGATGTTTACGCATCGGCGATTTTGCCCACTTTGAGCCCCATTTTCGGCCAATTTCACTGTACTAGTTGACAAAAACATGAATATTTCGCTAGAACTCCATTTTTTCTATCGAATGGGTGCAAGAAACCACCCATTTATGAAATTCAACTATCCAGTACAGTGGTCAGAATTTAGCAATTTTGCCAATTTCACACAAATTTCAAAAGATGCCAATTTCCGAATAGGGTCCAGAATAAACAAGAAAGACATTCCTGGCACTAAAATGACATTTCCTCTAGTCATTAGTCACGTCTCAAGGCCCCTCTTATAATCTTTTGCTTTCCACTTTGAATTTTTATTTTCACAAAAAATATAAGATTTACTGTTATGCAGACTACTGCATTAGTGTAAAAAATGGTATAAATATTATTGGTGCACTTGTGAAAGAATATTAGACTCACCAGTTGACGTGTATTGCACGCTTGGCACGATTTGTTTACTTTTGAAGTTTGGTAAAAATCAAACATTTCTGCTACTTTGAGCTCAATTTCAAGGCACCTTTCATTGTAAAACCAGTCAAAATCATCTCAATTTCTGTAATATGTCTTCCATTCTATAAAATGAGACCAAGAAAACTAGAATACAACAATAAATAACATACGAAAATACACTGCAAAGTCGCTGATTTATTCAAAAAAAATGGTCAAAGTTTTTTTTTTCTCATTATGCACTGTGTGCTGCAGGATTTTTTTTAGACTGTGCACACTGACCACATAGACCCATTCTTTCATATGAAGGCCTACCAGCTTTCTCCCACTAGATTTGAGGCCGCTAGAATTTATGAGTACTAGTACGTCAAAAACCCCTACGCGTAAGACGTACTAGTACGACCAAAACCCTCAAAGGGTTAAAAGGACATATTATGATATTAATGAACATGGAGCTGCAACCAAAGAAAACCTTCACTGAAAGACAGGGATTGAAAAATTTTCAATACTCTTACATTAAGAGCTTTGAGCAGAATCAAAGGATAAAACAAGAAAATCAGATCTTTGTATTAATTCAAAATTAAATAAATTCAAATATAAGAAATACTGTATATTTCAGGGTCCAATACAAAATTGTGAACTAAAATCTGAAGGAATAACTATACAAACTGAGGCCTGATGACATCATGAGTCACACAATCAGAATACTTGTTCATAGTGCATTATTATAATTTTGGGGAAGTGTTACAACCATTTGGGTTATGCAGTGCCTGGGGAATTAGATGTAATCAGGTTTGATTCAGGGAAGGGAAGGCAGTTTCAATTCTTAGGATCAAGAGCTCTTCACTGGCATCAAAGCACCCCTTTGAAGGATGTTTATGGTGCAGCAGTGAAAATGAGTCCCTTGTAACATCTCCAGACTCAAGTCTGAATCCTTCAAGTCACAGGTTTTTACTTTTTACTCTGGTAAACCTCATTCCTGAAAGTTTAAATTCATTCCAGTTTAAAAGTGTTTTGGCAACAGGTTAGTGACCAAGTTCAGTAATTAATGTATGTAAAAAAAAATTAAAGTTGTGAAGGTCATGGATAACATGAAGTAGTCAACAAAGAGGATTTGTTTATAAATGTCAGAAATTCTTAAAATGGTTTAAAGATCTATGAAAAAGAATTAATATTTTATAAGTTCAAAAAAATACAGTACAGTGCTACCTTGACTTACAAGTGCCCCAACTTACGAGTTTTCCGAGTTACATGCAATTGCTCAGTCAATTTTTTGCTTTGAGTTGTGAGCCAAAATCTGAGTTACGAGTGAGCTTCAGATACGCCGCTGCTAGTTGGTGCAGCGAATACCACAACATCCGCCTAGCATCCTGCATCATTCATTCAGTGAATGTGGTTACCTCACTGTGGAAGCATCTCTCTTGTGTTGTGCTTGCATTTTTGTGCTTTCTGTACAGTTATTTTGCCAAATTTCTTTTTTCTAACCATGGGTCCTAAGAAAGTAAGTGCAAAGGACAGTGCTGAGAAGAAGAGAATTATGTCCATTGAATTAAAGCATGAAATCATAGAAAAACACGAGCAAGGTGTGAGTGTAGTCGACGTGGCAAGGCAGTATGAGCATAGTACTTTTATGATATAAGACACATAAGAAAGGAGGAACACTGCAGCAGGCCTGTTGGCCCAGACTAGGCAGGTCCTTCACAATCCATCTCATTAAGCAGGAGGAGTTGATAAAGGCTATAACACCAGCCAAGGGCGTTAAAATAAAATCTAAGCTGCGGCAGTGGTGGTGGTGGAGGTAGAGGTGGTAGCGGCAGTGGGTGGTGGTGGCAGTGGCAGTGTTGTTGGTGTTGGTGGTGGTGTTGGTGGTGGTGTCGTTGGTGGTGTCGGTGGTGGTGTCGTTGGTGGTGGTGTCGTTGGTGGTGGTGTCAGTGGTGTCGTTGGTGGTGGTGTCGGTGGTGGTGGTGTCGTTGGTGGTGGTGTCGTTGGTGGTGATGTCGTTGGTGGTGTCGTTGGTGGTGTTGGTGGTGGTGGTGTCGGTGGTGGTGGTGTCGGTGGTGGTGGTGTCGGTGGTGGTGGTGTCGGTGGTGGTGGTGTCGTTGGTGGTGGTGTCGTTGGTGGTGGTGTCGTTGGTGGTGGTGTCGTTGGTGGTGGTGTCGTTGGTGGTGGTGTCGTTGGTGGTGGTGTCATTGGTGGTGGTGTCATTGGTGGTGGTGTCGTTGGTGGTGGTGTCGTTGATGGTGGTGTCGTTGATGGTGGTGTCGTTGGTGGTGGTGTCGTTGGTGGTGGTTGTCGGTGGTGGTGTCGTTGGTGGTGGTGTCGTTGGTGGTGGTGTCGTTGGTGGTGGTGTCGTTGGTGGTGTCGTTGGTGGTGGTGTCGTTGGTGGTGTCGTTGGTGGTGTCGTTGGTGGTGTCGGTGGTGTCGTTGGTGGTGGTGTCATTGGTGGTGGTGTCGCTGGTGTTGGTGTAGCAAGTAAGTTAAGCAATTAAGATATAGAGTTTATGACGAATGAAAGCGACTGAAAAAGCATGAAACAAAACGAACTCTTCCAATCTCCTCTACCTATCTTTTCCACCCTCCACCTCCACCAGCATCTTCCATTAGCCAAGTCGTCTGATCTCCAAGGTAAACACACTATAAAACCAGTTTATTTCTTTACATTCTCTTATTATGTTTTATTATGTTTTTATACAATATTTCTTATTTATAAATACATTTTTCTTATTTAAAAACCTGTAACAAAAAAGTGAGGTGGTTTTTTGGGGGCTGGAATGGATTAATGGCATTTCAGTTAATTTCAATGAGGAAAATTTATTTGATACACGAGCAAATTGAGTTACAAGCTTGGTCACGGAACAAATTAAACTTGTAAGTCAAGGTATTGGAAGTTAAATAATTTACAGTACATAGTAACTAACAAAAAACTTCACCTGTTTAGCTCTTTCTGTTTTAAATGCCAGAGCTTGTTCCAGTGCTTGTGGGAGCTTCACTTCTCTTTGTGCCTCTTCTTTGGGGGCAGAAACTTGCAAGGACATTAGAGGTGGGGGCTTGTCTCCCTTTTCTGGGCTCTCTCCTGGAGGAGCAATTACTGTGGGAGCTGCACCCAGGAGGCCTGTACCCTGAAACACAAGTGTAACATTATTTACAGCTAATGTTATATAATGTAGTGCTGCATAACCCTTATTCTAAAGAAATTTAAATTAAGTCATAATAATGGTACAGTACACCCTCTACTTTTACAGTAAGTTGTCTCTAATTCTGCATATGGCACCTATGTTTATTCTACACTTCTTCCTGTATCACAGATAAATTAACTAGTGAAAAAAGTGACTATCTGTTAAATGATTTAAGATTTTTATTTTTAATGCAATGGTCATCTTCTACTGAGGTAGGGTGACCCAAAAAAAGAAGAAACATTTTCACTATCACTCACTCCATCACTAACTTGCCAGAGATGCACTGATACTACAGTTCAGATGCCCATCCAAACTACAAATATCCCACCCCCCTTCAGAGTGCAGGCACTGAACTTCCCACCTCCAGGACTAAGGCCCAGTTAATGGGTTTCCCTGAATCCCTCCAAAGATGTTACCTTGCTCACACAGCAACAGCACATCATAAAAACCACCTGCCTGCACTCGTTCCTAACACACTCACACACCTGTTGGATGCCAAAGTTCCTCACATACAACACCTCCTTTACCCCCTCCTCCCAACTTTTCCTAGGGTGACCCCTACCCTGCCTTCCCTCCACTACAGATTTATACACCCTCCAAATCAGAGCTGACAGAACTGATTACTGTGTTTTTAAGTTACTGTATAATGCAGGTTTTTTCAGTCCCATGTGGCTGAAAATAGAGTAAGGTAAAGAAAAAGCCTAGCGCAATAATTAATGTTTGGGTTAAAATTATGAGTGAAGATGTGCTAGATATGATAATAAAAAAAAAGATGCATACAGGTCTATTTGTTGAGTTTGTCATGGATACAGGTGGACGTTGGCCAGTCATAGGTGTGGCATTACGAGGGCTGGACGCCTGCAGCAGTGGTGGTCTGAGGGGTGACTGCTGTGAGGGTGGTGATGGCTTTGGTAATGATCCTGGTCCTGGGCCAAGTAATCCTCCACTGGGCACAGAAGTAGGGCTAGAAAAGCCTGTTGGACCACCAACAGTAATTGGTACTTGAGGCCTGGGAGCAAATGAAGGTGATGGAGGTACAACAACAGATGCTTTGACCCCTGGGGGACCCAGGACAGGAACAGTACCAACACTGGCTGCTCCAGAACTCACTGGCTGAGGAACAGAGGCACGTGGTGAAGCTGCTGAAACACCAGGTGGTCCACCTGGTGCTGGTAGCTGGAGAAAACAAGAATGCATTAATAATATTTCTAGTAGTTTAAAGAACTTGATAATTAATATACCTACAGAAAAATATTATCCAAAATAATTGCTAAATATTACACATAAACATCACATTACTGGAGTGAAAGATGGACAATGCAAGTAAAATGCTTAAATCAAGTCCCAATTTATGAATCCAGATGTGGTAAAATGAACTATTAAGAATAAAACAAATTTAATAGTCCTCACTTTTATATTTTCTTCCTCCTTTTGTTTTAAAGCCTCTCTTTGTAGCCGTAAGAGCTGGACTTGCTTATCTTGCTCTTCCCTTTGTTTTTCCATGAAGGCGGCTTGCTGTAAACGATACAATTCTTCCTGCTGTTTCTGTTGCTGCTGCTGCTCAAGAAGTCTTTGCTGTTCTCGCACTTTGTGCTGCATCAGACGTTCTTCTTCCAACTGACGTTGGCGACTTATCATCTGAGAATATAAGTTAGGCTAACAATTTATTCTTAGACAAGGATATTTACTGGTATTTTAAAACTCACAAATCAGTACATTATTATAATTATCAGTAGCAGGTTGGTAGTCAGCAACTGCCCAGGTACTACCGTCCTGGCAAGCGAGTGTAAAACAGAAACTTGTAATTGTTTTACATGATGGTGGGATTGCTGGTGTCCTTTTTGTCTCATATAGTACATGCAAGATTTCAGGTACGTCTTCTACTTCTCTTACACTTAGATAACACTACACATACATGTACAAACATATATATACACACCCCTCTGGGCTTTCTTCCATCTTCTTACTAGCTCTTGTTCTTGTTTATTTCCACATATCTCCATGGAGAAGTGGAACAGAATTCTTCCTCTGTAAGCCATGCATGTCATAAGAGGTGACTAAAATGCCGGGAGCAAGGGGCTAGTAACCCCTTCTCCTGTATATATTACTAAATTTAAAAGGAGAAACTTTCGTTTTTCCTTTTGGGCCACTATGCCTTGGTGGGATATGGCTAATTTATTGAAAGAAGATTTTATCTTTTCTTAAAAAACAACATAAACTCCCAAGATTTCTCAAAATGAATTGGCCCCAACCATCCAGATCAGTGTTTTTCAAAGTTTTCCCATCCAAATCAGTGTTATTCAAAGTTTTCCCATCATGATCTAGTGCAATATTAATCACACACCATCATGCCACTATTCTGTGTCAAAAAAAAAAAAAAAAAAAAAAGCTAGGTAATCCAAAGCAAAATAACAGACAAGTTAATTTAAAGCTTTTGACTCATTAGAATCAAGCCAAATTATATTAACTGAGATTCATTCTGTAAATTAACATACACCAAATAAAACTAACACATCAATTTGAAAGTTACTCGCTCAGTACAAATCATGGGGCTGCCAGTTCCTTGCAGCCCAGCAAAAACTCAATACAGTGGAACCTCCACTTGCGAGCGCATCCACGTGCGAGTTTTTCCAAATACGTACGAGCAGTTGCTCGGTGAATTTTTTGCTTCCATAAGCGAGCGAAATTTCAATAAGCGAGTGGGCCTCAAGGGAGGTTCCTTGATGGCGATGAGGGACTCTTGCTCTTGATCTAGGGAATTGGATCTCATTTGTTTGCTGGGCTATCTTATTGAAACTTGGGCAATGCATGATGCTTCTTAATGTATACCAAAAATGAAAGAAATCGGACCATAAATAATGGAGTTCACTTCTAAGCCATTAGCCGCCCCTTAGCGGTACAGTGGACCCCCAGTTCGCGATATTAATCCGTTCCTGAGAGTTCATCGTAAACCAAAATTATCGGAAAGCGAATCAATTTTCCCCATAAGAAATAATAGAAATCAAATTAATTCGTGCAAGACACCCAAAAGTATGAAAAAAAAACTTTTACCACATGAAATATTAAGTTTAATGCAAAAGAATAATTACAATAACAACAATAGCAATAGAATAATAACAACAGAATAATTGACACTTACCTTTAATGAAGATCTGGTGATGATTGATGGGATGGGAGGAGGGGAGAGTGTTGAACCTATTGTTTAGAAGGGGAATCCCACTCCATTAGGACTTGAGGTAGCAAGTCCTTTTCTGGGGTTACTTCCCTTCTTCGTTTAATGCCACTAGGACCAGGTTGAGAGTCACTGGACTTCTGTCGCACAACATATCTGTCCATAGAGGCCTGTACCTCTCGTTCCTTCATGACTTTCCTAAACAGTGTCATTGTACAGGTTGCCAACACGGCTTGCAGTAGCTGTCTGAGGGTGATTTTCATCAAAAAAGCTTTGCACTTTAAGCCACATTGCACACATTTCCTTAATCTTTGAAGTAAACAACTTCTTCAATTTCTCTATCCCCTCCTCCGAACCAGTTTCCTCAGGTCTGGCCTCTTGCTGTTCAAGATGATCTAGCAGCTCATCAGTGGTTAGTTCGTCACTGTCCTCCTCCATCAACTCTTCCACATCCTCCCCACTAACCTCCAACCCCAAGGACTTCCCCCAATGCCACAATGGATTCCTAAACTGGCATAGGCTTCTCAAGGTTAGCCTCAAACCCTTCAAAATCCCTTTTGTCTACACATTCTGGCCACAGTTTTTTCCAGGCAGAGTTCAAGGTCCTCTTAGTCACTCCCTCCCAAGCCTTACCTATAAGGTTTACACAATTGAGGATATTAAAATGATCCTTCCAAAACTCCTTTAGATTCAATAGAGTATCTGTGGTCACTTCAAAGCACCTTACAAACATAGCTTTTGTGTACAGTTTCTTGAAGTTGGAAATGACCTGCTGATCCATGGGCTGCAGGAGAGGAGTGGTATTAGGAGGCAAAAACTTGACCTTAATGAAGCTCATGTCCCCAGAAAGTCGCTCTGCCAAGTCTGTAGGATGACCAGGGGCATTGTCTAATACCAGGAGGCACTTAAGGTCCAATTTCTTTTCAATTAGGTAATTTTTCACATTGGGGGCAAATGCATGGTGTAACCAGTCATAGAAAAAGTCCCTAGTGACCCATGCCTTACTGTTTGCCCTCCACAGCACACACAAATTAGCCTTGAGGATATTCTTTTGCCTGAATGCTCTGGGAGTTTCTGAGTGATACACCAATAAAGGCTTCACTTTGCAATCACCACTAGCATTGGCACACATCAGAAGAGTAAGCCTGTCTTTCATAGGCTTATGTCCTAAGAGTGCCTTTTCCTCCTGAGCAATGTAGGTCCTGCTTGGCAATTTCTTCCAAAACAGGCCTGTTTTGTCACAATTAAAAACTTGTTCAGGTTTCAATCCTTCAGCCTCTATGTACTCCTTGAATTCATGCACATATTTTTCAGCCGCTTTGTGGTCTGAACTGGCAGCCTCACCATGCCTAATCACACTATGTATGCCACTACGATTCTTAAATCTTTCTAACCAACCTTTGCTGGCCTTAAATTCACTCATATCACCACTAGTTGCAGGCAATTTCTTTACCAAATCGTCATGCAACTGCCTAGCCTTTTCACAAATGATCACTTGAGAGATGCTATCTCCTGCTATCTGTCTTTCATTTATCCACACCAATAACAGTCTCTCAACATTTTCTAACACTTGCGGCCGCTGTTTCGTAATCACAGTTGCACCTTTTGCAAGAACAGCTTCCTTGATTGCCGTTTTCCTGCTCACTATAGTAGAGATGGTTGATTGGGGTTTACTATACAACCTGACCAGCTCCGACACACGCACTCCACTTTCGTACTTTGCAATTATCTCTTTCTTCATTTCAATAATCATTAGCACCCTTGGTCTTGAAGGGTTGGCACTAGAAGCTTTCTTGGGGCCCATGGTGACTTATTTTGCAGAAACAAGCACCAAAAACAGTGATAATATGGATAATATAGAATGTACCGAATGTATCCTTAGATGCGCGCACACTGGCTGGCTTGTAAACACTGGCACACACGGGGCAGTTCAGGCCACACGTGGACACGTCTCGTACGAATCGCATCGCATACCGGGTTTTGTAATGGGAACCGAGGCAAATTTTCTGCCTCGGTTTCGTCTCCATTCACTCCTATCTAACACGCTCACGCATGCTTGCTGGAAGTCCAAGCCCCTCGCCCACAAAACCTCCTTTACCCCCTCTCTCCAACCCTTTCGAGGATGACCCCTACCCCGCCTTCCTTCTCCTATAGATTTATATGCTTTCCATGTTATTCTACTTTGATCCATTCTCTCTAAATGACCAAACCACCTCAACAACCCCTCTTCTGCCCTCTGACTAATACTTTTATTAACTCCACACCTTCTAATTTCCACACTCCGAATTTTCTGCATAATATTTACACCACACATTGCCCTTAGACAGGGCATCTCCACTGCCTCCAACCGCCTCCTCGCTGCTGAATTCACAACCCAAGCTTCACACCCATATAAGAGTGCTGGTACTACTATACTTTCACACATTCCCTTCTTTGCCTCCATAGATAATGTTTTTTGTCTCCACATATACCTAAACGCACCACTCACCTGTTTCCCCTCATCAATTCTATGATTAACCTCATCCTTCATAAATCCATCCGCCGACACGTCAACTCCCAAGTATCTGAAAACATTCACTTCTTCCATACTCCTCCTCCCCAATTTGATATCTAATTTTTCTTTATCTAAATCATTTGATACCCTCATCACTTTACTCTTTTCTATGTTCACTTTCAACTTTCTACCTTTACACACACTCCCAAACTCATCCACTAACCTTTGCAATTTTTCTTTAGAATCTCCCATAAGCACAGTATCATCAGCAAAAAGTAACTGTGTCAATTCCCATTTTGTATTTGATTCCCCATAATTTAATCCCACCCCTCTCCCGAACATCCTAATTTACTTCTTTTACAACCCCATCTATAAATATATTAAACAACCATGGTGACATTACACATCCCTGTCTAAGACCTACTTTTACTGGGAAGTATTCTCCCTCTCTTCCACACACCCTAACCTGAGCCTCACTATCCTCATAAAAACTCTTTGCAGGATTTAGTAACTTACCACCAATTTCATATATGTACTTGCAACATCTGCCACATTGCTCCCCTATCCACTCTATCATATGCCTTTTCTAAACCCATAAATGCAATAAAAACTTCCCTACTTTATCTAAATACAGTGGACCCCCGCATACCGTTGGCCTTACATAATATTAAATCCGCATACCGATACATTTTATCGCTAAGATTTTGCCTCGCATACCGCTAAAAAACCCGCTCAACGCTGTTCGTCCGAAAACGCGTCTAATGTGCGGCCTGAGCCAGCCTCACATGTTCCGCCGGTGGCATTGTTTACCAGCCAGCCTCCGCGGTAACATCCAAGCATACAATCGGAACATTTCGTATTATTAGTGTTTTTGGTGATTTTATCTGCAAAATAAGTGACCATGGGCCCCAAGAAAGCTTCTAGTGCCAACCCTACAGCAATAAGGGTGAGAATTACTATAGAGATGAAGAAAGAGATCATTGATAAGTATGAAAGTGGAGTGCGTGTCTCCGAGCTGGCTAGGTTGTATAATAAACCCCAATCAACCATCGCTACTATTGTGGGCAACAAAACGGCAATCAAGGAAGCTGTTCTTGCCAAAGGTTCAACTGTGTTTTCGAAACAGAGATCGCAAGTGATGGAAGATGTTGAGAGACTCTTATTGGTATGGATAAATGAAAAACAGATAGCAGGAGATAGCATCTCTCAAGTGATCATAAGTGAAAAGGCTAGGAAGTTGCATGAGGATTTATTTAAAAAAATGCCTGCAACTAGTGATGATGTGAGTGAATTTAAGGCCAGCAAAGGTTGGTTTGAGAGATTTAAGAAGCGTAGTGGCATACATAGTGTGATAAGGCATGTTGAGGCTGCCAGTTCAGACCACAAAGCAGCTGAAAAATATGTGCAGAAATTCAAGGAGTACATAGACAGTGAAGGACTGAAACCTGAACAAGTGTTAAATTGTGATGAAACAGGCCTGTTTTGGAAGAAAATGCCAAGCAGGACCTACATTACTCAGGAGGAAAAGGCACTCCCAGGACATAAGCCTATGAAAGACAGGCTTACTCTGTTGATGTGTTCCAATGCTAGTGGTGATTGCAAAGTGAAGCCTTTATTAGTGTATCACTCAGAAACTCCCAGAGCGTTCAGGCAAAAGAATATCCTCAAGGCTAATTTGTGTGTGCTGTGGAGGGCAAACAGTAAGGCATGGGTCACTAGGGACTTTTTCTATGACTGGTTACACCATGCATTTGCCCCCAATGTGAAAGATTACCTAACTGAAAAGAAATTAGACCTTAAGTGCCTCCTGGTGTTAGACAATGCCCCTGGTCATCCTACAGACGTGGCAGAGCGACTTTATGGGGACATGAGCTTCATTAAGGTCAAGTTTTTGCCTCCTAATACCATTCCTCTCCTGCAGCCCATGGACCAGCAGGTTATTGCAAATTTCAAAAAACTGTACACAAAAGCTCTGTTTGAAAGGTGCTTTGTAGTGACCTCAGAAACTCAATTGACTCTTAAGAGAGTTTTGGAGAGAGCACTTTAATATCCTCAATTGTGTAAACCTTATAGGTAAGGCTTGGGAGGGAGTGACTAAGAGGACTTGAACTCTGCTTGGAAGAAACTGTGGCCAGAATGTGTAGACCAAAGGGATTTTGAAGGGTTTCAGGCTAACCCTGAGAGGAGTATGCCAGTTGAGGAATCCATTGTGGCACTGGGAAAGTCCTTGGGGTTGGAGGTAAGTGGGGATGATGTGGAAGAGTTGGTGGAGGAGGACAATGAAGAACTAACCACTGATGAGCTGCTAGATCAACTTCAACAGCAAGAGGCCAGACCTGAGGAAAGTGGTTCAGAGGAGGGGAGAGAGAAATTGAAGAAGTTGCCTACTACAAAGATTAAGGAAATCTGTGCAATGTGGCTGAAAGTGCAAACCTTTATGGATGAAAATCACCCTCACACAGCTATTGCAAGCCGTGCTGGTGACTATTACACTGACACTGTTGTGAAACACTTTAGGGAAGTCATAAAGGAACGAGAGGTACAGGCCACTATGGACAGATATGTTGTGCGACAGAAGTCCAGTGACTCTGAAGCTGGTCCTAGTGGCATTAAAAGAAGAAGGGAAGTAACCCCAGAAAAGGACTTGACACCTCAAGTCTTAATGGAAGGGGATTCCCCTTCTAAACACTAAGACTCTCTCCTCCTCCCATCCTATCAATCATCACCAGATCTTCAAAAAAGGTAAGTGTCATGTAATTGTGTATGCCTTTTTCAGTTTGTGTGTATTAAAATTAATATTTCATGTGGTAAAAAAATTTTTTTTCATACTTTGGGGTGTCTTGCACGGATTAATTTGATTTCCATTATTTCTTATGGGGAAAATTCATTCGCATAACGATAATTTCGCATAACAATGAGCTCTCAGGAACGGATTAATATCGTTATGCGGGGGTCCACTGTACTGTTCACATATATGCTTCAATGTAAACACTTGATCTACACATCCCCTACCCACTCTGAAGCCTCCCTGCAATCCGACATTCTGTCTTACCTCTAATTCTTTCAATTATAACCCTACCGTACACTTTTCCTGGTATACTCAGTAAACTTATTCCTCTATAATTTTTACAATCTCTTTTGTCCCCTTTCCCTTTATATAAAGGGACTATACATGCTCTCTGCCAATCCCTAGGTACCTTCCCCTCTTTCATACATTTATTAAACAAAAATGCCAACCACTCCAACACTATATATGTAATATAATAATGATAATATGTGTATAATAATAATACATGTATAATAATAATGTACTATATAATAATTATAATAATAGGCAGCTTCAAAAGGCCGTCACTAGATGGCAGTGAATACCTCAACAATGCGGGAGCAATTGTGGCTGCCTCCACCTGTCACATAATGACATATTTTATTCATCCTAGTTTATATGTCAGGTTTCTATGTTATTTATATTGTTTATTATGTCATATTAGATGAATTGTGATAGATAAATAAGCCGTAGAGTTGATATTAGCAAAATTATTCAAGGAGTATTTTGTCTGGTCTCCAGACAAACTCTCGTCCACCACCGACAATACCACTACATGAATGACATAGTATTTTATTCATTCTAGGGTATATATCAGGTTTCTACATTATTTATATTGTTTATTATGTCATATTAGATGACTTGTGATAAATAAATAAGCCGTAGAGTTGACATTAGGGAAATTATTGAAGTATTTTGTCGTGCCTGGAATTCCACTGGAATGGATTAATTGCAATTCAATTAATTTAAATGATGAAAATTGACTCTGCAAACGAGTAAATCCAGATGCGAGCAAGGCCACAGAACATATTAAACTCATGAGTGGAGGCTTCATTGTATTAGATATTGCTCCGTGCTCTGAGGAACCCTGATCTAGACAGTATACTCTACCAAAAATAATATGCATTGGTTAAGTTATACTGAATATATATATATTAGGTACACTGTGTCTCTATATAAATTTTCCCAATCTTATACAGTGAAACATTGTAAAGAACTTACTCTACACTACATGATGTTTAGTTACATACAGTAAACCGTCATTTAGCATGGTAGTTACGTTCCTGAAAATGCCATGTTATGTAAAACTGTTTTAGATGAACTGAAGAACCTATGGGAAAATAGGGTTACATTCCTGGGAGCCCCCAAAAAGCCAAACTTTTTTTTAGACCTCTACATCTTACAAAAATAAAAGTGAATATGTAATTGCAGTTCATTGTTGTGATGTATTATGTTGTTTATACTGCTCAAGACTACAAATGTAACAGAAATAATAGTATTTCTTACCTTAAATTGTGGGTGCTGGTGTTTGTGGATGATTGTGAAGAGAGTGGAGAGTTATGCTGTGGCTCTACTGGGCTGAGGTGGATGGTAAAGGTTGTGGTACTGAAGTCGATGGTTGTACTGGAGAGTCTATCTGTAAGTCATTCTGTCAGTCAGTCAAGTCATTCAGTAAATCAGTCAAATCACTCAGTAAGTCAGTCAAGTCACTCAGTAAGGCATTCAGTCAGTCAAATCACTCAGTAAGTCAGTCAAGTCATTCAGTAAGTCAGTCAAGTCACTCAAGTCATTCAGTAAGTCAGTCAAGTCACTCAGTAAGTCAGTCAAGTCATTCAGTCAGTCAGTCAAGTCACTCAGTAAGTTAGTCAGTTCAGTCAGTCAGTCATTCAGTAAGTCACACAAACTCACATTTACCTCTTTCTGTGTACACAGTAACACTTCATTACAGCTACAGGTTATCTCTTGTATAATAACTCTGTTTCTTTGTTAATTCTAAGACTTAAGTGCTTATACCTCTTCTTGCCACTTTCAGGAATATTGGTATGGCTACTGGGTGTCATGATTGCTTGGCAGATACAAGATATGGTAATTAAAATATCATAACACAATTCACAAACACAGCTGCCTTGTAGCAGAGAGAGACTGAACTGGACATGTATGAATTACGAACGCTGGGATGGTGGGGTGGTGTCAGGGAGTGGTAGAGGATGGCGGGAGGGCTCCCTGACTGTTCCACAACATGGTGGCCACTTGACCAAAAGAGAATTATATTTTTCCTCCCCATGAACTGAACCATGTTAAATTAATTATATGACATGTTACATAAAATTGTGCCACAATTCTTCAATCGTGCAATACCGAAATCATGCCAAATAAACTCATGCTAAATGATGGTCTACTGTACATTTGTTTACTCTGGGCGATACAGAACACTTCATTCTGTACATACATAATGGACGGTAGTGTTAGTGCCTTAATGGAAAGACAGCGATAAAATGATGGATGCTGAATGTCTCTAGGTTACCTTGTCTTCATGAAAATTGGCTGGTGTTAAAATAATAACCATCAATCATTTCCCATCAAAGGAGAGTGATGCACAGAAGAAAACACTCTTGCTACTTTCCCAAACAGCATAAACACTGCAGTCCAATGTTAGTCAACTGAACCTTATTATCCTTACAGTAATATAGGCACTACAGTACTTCCAAATCTTCAAAACCTCACACTTATAACTTATTTCATTGGGGTAAGCAATGAGCAAATTGATTTAATACTTTTTTTTCTTTCAAATGTGAGTGAGTACTTTATCATGATTATGGAAAGTGCTAAACCTGTAGGGGTCAACTGTGGCATGGAAAAAAAGCAGGTTTTAACAGGGAAGGGGGAGGGCTTGTAGTATTGTGAAGTACATTGACATACAGTTATTACAAAATGTTGTGTGAGACTAAGAAAAAAGAACAATAGTTTTAGCTTTTATACCTCTTCTTGTTCTCTAGCTTTCCTAAGAAGATCATTCTGGCCTTGATTCTGAGTCTGCTCATCATCTTCCTCCATGACCATATCTTCCTGTTGCATCTGTTCATCCTGCTGGGGATCAGGTCCACCCACACTGCCATCCTTGTTTTCTGATGGGCTGGGCTCAGCCCCTCTATCCCTGCCTGATTTATCTGATCAAAAAATACAGCATGTACAATATTATTAAAGTATTTCCAGGGAACAGAAAGCAATCAGACTCGAACCAAGGTGTAGGATACTTCTAATTCCCTGGATTAAAAGCCCTTCACCAGAATCAAGGCATCTCTCTAGAGGGTAGCTCATTTCAAAACCTGGACTTGCTATGGTATACAGTACCACCACCAATAGTTAGCTAACTTCCTTCATTTATACCCCACATTGATTACATCCATTGCTATCCAATTCCCCCCATGTCTATTACTTGTACTTGTATTACTTGTACTATTACAACTTTAATTTTGCTTGCTTCTTCATAACCAATTAATATTTTATACATTATTCAATTAACATATAGATACAGTGGAACCCCAGTTTTGGGCCCCCTGATTTTCGACTGTTTTTTTTTGGTAAAATTTTGTCCCAATTTTTCAGCCGTTCCCTTGTTTTGGCTGCGTACCAGCCCTTTTCCACGCCTGCACGCCCCCCCCCGGGGAGGCCGGAAACCAGTCTAGTTTTGTTACCCTTGAGTGAACATTACCCGGGGTCACTAAAAATTTCACAAAATTATTTGTTTAGCTTTTTTAGGGATGCACTGAAATAACCCCACCGGGGGCCCAAAGAAATTTCACATAGCGAAGGCATTTGGTGGGACAGTGTTGGGGCAGTGGTTGAGGCAGTGGTTGGGGCAGTGGTTTAAAGGCAGGGGTTGGGCAGGGGGTTGAGGCAGTGGTGGGGGCAGGGGTTTTTAGGCAGGGTTAAGGCGGGGGTTTTAAGCAGTGGTTAAGGCATTTTGGGGAGGCATGGTTGGGCAAAATAAATCCTCCCCTCTCCCCCCCCCCTACTTCCAGATCCCAAATGAATCTTCAATAAAGTACATAAATGTATTTTAAATTTTAAATGTTTATTGATGTACTGTATTATCATTTAATACTTTTGTATGTTTTAAGTACTATTTTTAGTTAAACAAAAATTATTCTTTAACCCTTTTTTGGGGTTTTTGACGTACTATACGGCTTTCGCCCCGGGTTTTTGATGTACTAAACGCCCAAATTCTAGTGCCTTTAAAAAATAGCGAGAGAAAGTGGTAGGCCTAATAGAAAGAATGGGTTTTGGGCAGTGTGCACAATAAAAAAAAATCCTGCAGCACACGTGCGTAGAGAAAAAAAAAAAAATTTGACCGGGTTTTTTTATTAAAACAGCGACTTTGCACTATTTTGGTATTTAGGTTTATTCTTTTTCCTGGTTTCATTTTATAGAAAGGGAAAACATAACAGAAATTGAATATTTGACGGTTTTTTCAATGAAACCCTTGAAATTGACCAAAATGCAGAAATGTTTGTTTACCAAAATTCAAAAGTAAACAATCTCAACGTCCAATACATGCCAACTGGGGAGTCTAAAATTCTTTTACAAGTGGGATATTTTTTATACTTTTACACTAAGCAGTGTCTGCATAAAGTAAATCTTCATTTTTTTAAAAATTAAAAAATTCAAAGTGGAAAGCAAAAGGATTAAGGGGCCTGGGGACGTGGCTAACAAATAGAGAAATTTTTTTTAGTGCCAGGGAAAGTCTTCTTGTTTATTCTGACCCCTTTTGGAAATTGGCATCTTTGAAATTTTTTGTAAAAATTTCCCAAAACTGCCAATTTCTAACCACTTTTTTGGGATATTTTCCAAAATTGGTAAATGAGTGGTTTCTGTACTCATTAAAACAAAAAAAAGGGAAAATTCTAGTAAAATTTAAATATGATTTTTGTCGACTAGTACCCGGGAATTGGCCGAAAAAGAGTCAAAGGGGGGCGAAATCCCCATTTTGAAAAACATCAGCGAGAAACAAACTTCGCGAGACCCTAATTCCATAATTTTTTCCACCCAAATTTAAAACCTTTTGGTGCCCAATTATGATGGGGAAAAAAGTTTTCTCCATCTTTTCTTTAAGAAAAAAAAATTTTTTTTTTTCCAAAAAAAATTTTATACCCTGAGAACAAGTTTAGGAGAGGGCCTCTCGACCCTGAAAGGGTTAAAAAATGTTTTTTTTTTTTTAATATTTTTGTGGGTCTGGAATGGATTAATTTCTTATTGGAAATATTGCTTCAACTTTCAGCCTTTTCGAGTTTAGGCCTAGCTCCTGGAATGAATTATGGCTGAAACTCGGGGTTTTACTATACTCAAAACATGCAGTACAGTACATCAAATTCTCCCAACTAATTTTAATTAAATTAATATCAACACAAGACTTAGCCAATTATCCAATGCTAATCCAATGTATATACTTTGAATAGCTTTATAAAACAAATTATTCACATGCGTTTTTATTTAAAAAATAAAATATTACCGTCTCCATCTTCATTCATCTTCCGAACATCAACTGGATCAACAATTTGCAAATGTTTGTAAAGACGATCCACCAGTTCCGGCTTTCCACCTGCAATGAATGATTTAACATTGTAAATAAGTATAAAAGTATGATGTATGTTTATACAGTATGTATATGTCCAGTGATGACACCAACACCCTGATATCAGGCAACAGGTTCTGTGACTCATTACAACATAACCATGAGTTATCCAGTGACATAACTTAGGTTTATTTCAAGTCAGGTAAAGTTATGTTTGGTTAATGTTTGCTGATAATTTTACTAAATTTCTATATGAGAGAATTCTTCACTAACAAGAAAAATATTTATCAGACTTCCTGACTGATAGGTGACCTGCGACCATCAGTGAATCACCAGTATTTACTTATACAGAAGAAAATTTCTGTACAGAAGTAAAGTTTTATACAGAAGTAAAGTTTTATACAGAAGTAAAGTTTTATACAGAAGTAAAGTTTTATACAGAAGTAAAGTTTTATACAGAAGTAAAGTTTTATACAAAGTAAAGTTTTATACAAAGTAAAGTTTTATACAGAAGTAAAGTTTCATACAGAAGTAAAGTTTTATACAGAAGTAAAGTTTTATACAAAGTAAAGTTTTATACAGAAGTAAAGTTTTATACAGAAGTAAAGTTTTATACAGACGTAAAGTTTTATACAGAAGTAAAGTTTTATACAGAAGCAAAGTTTTATACAGACGTAAAGTTTTATAAAGAAGTAAAGTTTTATGCAGAAATAAAGTTTTATTTATAAGATAAGATTTAAGATAAGATAAGATTTCGTTCGGATTTTTAACCCCGGAGGGTTAGCCACCCAGGATAACCCAAGAAAGTCAGTGCGTCATCGAGGACTGTCTAACTTATTTCCATTGGTGTCCTTAATCTTGTCCCCCAGGATGCGACCCACACCAGTCGACTAACACCCAGGTACCTATTTGCTGCTAGGTGAACAGGACAACAGGTGTAAGGAAACGTGTCGAAATGTTTCCACCCGCCGGGAATCGAACCCGGGCCCTCCGTGTGTGAAGCGGGAGCTTTAGCCACCAGGCCACCGGGCCTGGTTTTATACAGAAGTAAAGTTTTATACAGAAGTAAAGTTTTATACAGAAGTAAAGTTTTATACAAAGTAAAGTTTTATACAAAGTAAAGTTTTATACAAAGTAAAGTTTTATACAAAGTAAAGTTTTATACAAAGTAAAGTTTTATACAAAGTAAAGTTTTATATAAAGTAAAGTTTTATATAAAGTAAAGCTCAGGATGGAAAGGGACTAGTATTTTCCAGTAAAAATAAGCTTTTGACAGTCATGTGTCTTCTTCCACACTTTATTCTTATTTACTTAAAGAGGGAGCGCTAAACCCCGTAGGGGTCATGCAATTCCTTTGACAATGGGAGGCAATCAAATTCGATCAAAGGAAAGACAGGAGAGCTTCAATTCCACGGACCAAGAGCCCTTCAACGGTGTCGAAACATTTCCCTTTAGAAGATTTTTATTAAAAAGGAAAAAAAAAATGATGGCCTAGAGCACTCCATACCATGGTTAGGCAAGCCAAAGGACGCTAGTTTAGCCTTCAGGTCCACAACCCTGAATCTCGAGATTTCTTCTTCGGTGAGAGGCATCTTAGACGACACTCCAACTGCAGACTATGAATAAAACACTGGAGAGACCAGATATATAAAAAAAAAACTTATAATCCCAACATGTCCACCATGAACCAAAACATTAACAAACTAGTACGATGGTTCTTCTTGTTATGTTGGGTTACAGGGCCACTGACAATGTGCGCCGTATCGAGCCCGCCCGTCCGGTGCTGGGAGACGGGACCTCGACCAAAGTGGAAGAATGGCTGGACAGATACTTAAAGACGGTGCCGGATCAGCCGGGCTGTGGTTCGTACGTTGGATTACGTGCGGCCAGCAGTAACAGCCTCGTTGATCAGACCCTGATCCACCGGGAGGCCTGGTCGTGGACCGGGCCGCGGGGGCGTTGATCTCCGGAATGCCCTCCAGGTAGGCTCCAGGTAGGGGTCCCTAGAGGTAGAGCCTGACCTGCATTAAAGAACCTTCCTTCAGGGGTTCCTAGATCTAGAGCCTGAGCAGCATCAACGAACCTTCCATGAGGAGACCCTAGAGCTAGAGCCTAACCAGCATCAAGGAACCTTCCTTGAGAGGACCCGAGAGCTAGAGCCTAACCAGCATCAAGGAACTTCACTTGAGAGGACCCTAGAGCTAGAGCCTGACCAACATTAAGGAACCTTCCTCGAGGGGACCCTAGAACTAGAGCCTAAACAGCATCAAGGAACCTTGAGAGAACCCAGGAGCTAGAGCCTCACCAGCATCAAGGAACCTTCCTTGAGGGGGACAATACAGCTAGAGCCTAACCAGCATCAAGAAACTTTCCTTCAGAGGACCCTAGAGCTAGAACCTAACCAGCATCAAAGAACCTTCCTTGAGAGGACCCTAGAGCTAGAGCCTGACCAGCATCAAGGAATCTTCCTTGAGAGGACCCTAGAGCTAGAGCCTAACCAGCATCAAGGAACCTTCCTTGAGAGGGCCCTAGAGCTAGAACCTAAGCAGTGTCAAGGAACCTTCCTTGAGGGGACCCTAGAGCTAGAACCTAACCAGCATCAAGGAACATTCCTTGAGAGGTCCCTAGATCTAGAGCCTAACCAGCATCAAGGAACCTTCCTTGAGAGGACCGTAGAGCTAGAGCCAAACAAGAATCAAGGAACCATCCTTGAGAGGACCCTAGAGCTAGAGCCTCACCAGCATCAAGGAACCTTCCTTGAGAAGACTCTAGAGCTAGAACCTAACCAGCATCAAAGAATCTTCCTTGAGAGGACCCTAGAGCTAGAACCTAACCAGTGTCAAGGAACCTTCCTTGAGGGAACCCTAGAGCTAGAACCTAACCAGCATCATGGAACCTTCCTTAAGAGGACCCTAGAGCTAGAACCTAACCAGAACTAGTGATCGAGCTACATGTCGCAGCCTAGGGAAAAGATTAACCTAAGTTTGCATAGTATGTCAGTGTTATCAGCTAGGTCTCTGTCAGTTGCATCATGTACTTCCAGAGTTTTGAGATTCTCTGACCGCGGGATTAAACCCCACCCGTGGTGTGGTTTATAAAGATCTTTACACAAATAACCCGCACATAAAAGAGACAAGCTTACGACGACGTTTCGGTCCGACTTGGACCATTGACAAAGTCACACTGTGACTTTGTCAATGGTCCAAGTCGGACCGAAACGTCGTCATAAGCTTCTCTCTTTTATGTGCGGGTTATTTGTGTATCGTTCCAATCACGGTATTGTGCCTTTTTTTTTGTTATATATAAAGATCTTTATTAATGAATTAATAATATTTTTTTCGCCGACTCCTGGGCAGAGGGGTTCAATAAGGTGTAAGTTTTTGTGGCCCTTAACAACCTCAACAACAACAACACAGGAGTTGTTGTCATCATGGGTCTCCACAGTATATTGAAAAAATTAAAGCAAAAGGAACACGAAGTTCGAATCCTTATGCTGTATCCTTTTCTGCTCTCAGATTTCATTTATGGCTTTTTTTATATTTATTAAAGTACGTTTTATTGTTCAGTACCAAAATTTGTCACGTTACCCATACCAGGTATACATTTATTTCCATTCATCCTTCACGAATTAATCTATGACCCTTGTAGGTTTAGCGTTTCTTTTTTATTATAATAATGAAGTAACCTACATAGGCTATCAGTATTTTTTATATAGTACTGTACTTAAATAGGCTAATCAATATTAATGTAAGCCTAAGAGTGTTGGACTGGCAGTCAGGGTGTCTGGTGAGACCTTTTGACTTTTTTATTATTAACTCTCCGACATCAGCAAGTTATCCAGGTGGCAGGATTGATGACTTTGTTAAAATATAACCACATACATTACCCAGCAACACAATTTAGGTTATGTTAATGAGTGTCGGAAGTTTTATTAAATTTATATGTGGGAAAACTGCTAGTAGAAAATATTTGAGAGTGACAGATTGGTGACCTGATAACATCAGTGAGATCACAATTGCTGAAGCATAAAAGTACTGGCAAACATATCATGGATGCTTCTTTATAGTTTCCATATTTGTGATTAAATTTTTTTTTTCAACGCTGCTCATCTTTCAGGATAGGGTGACCTAAAAAAAAGAAACACACTATCATGTATTTAATAATTGTCTTGCCAGAAGCGCTCAAACGTCAGTATTCAAATGCCCCTCTGAACTTCACATACCCACACATCCTTCTGAATGTACGCACTGCATCACCCACTTCCAGGACTCAAGTCCGGCTAACTGACTTCCCTCTAACCATAGGTGTCATCTTGCTCACATTCCAAGAGTATATCAAGCCAAGAAAACCACTGTCTCTGCTTGCTTCAACCTGACACACTCACACAAGTTTTCTGGATGCTCAAAACTCACTTTATGGTTAACTGCATACATTTTAATAGGTTCATAACCTAACATAAAATGGTCTCAACCTCACTGGCATGTCAACATTTAACAAACTAGTTGCAACATGGCAGCCAGCTCATTAGATTCTTCCTCAGTATAATAAATGAAGATATGTGACTATTTCTTTGGAATGCAACAGTTTAGTATTGTAATCAGTAAAATTATGCTCACCAGTGATAATGTGTGTAAGGCCTTTTTATTATCCCTCACTGATAGCCTCTACCCGGTCCAGCTTTCCTCTACTGTGGGATTGTCGGTATGTTAGTTGTTTGTTTCTGTGCTAGTTTTCATGATCTGCAATCCTGTAATCTAGAAGATGAAGCCTAGCTTTTTATAAACCCTGAAAAATTAATAACCCAGGACAACCCAAGAAATGTGGAAAAAAAGACACACATGTATAGTTCAGGACATTTTTTTAAAGAAATGGTTTCTTCAATCATTAGGACTGAAGAAGCCACTCATGGCATATTTCCTTTAATGTTTGGTATTACTATACCATTCACTTCCAACCCAAGAAAGCCAAACATTGGTAAAAAAAAAAAAAATTTAAATGGTCAGCCAGCCTCATCTTTCTGTTCTTCCTGTTTAGTGCTTTCTCCTATATTGGGACTGCCTTGTGCAGTAAGTATGCCCTTACCTTATTTGATTTCTGTGGTCTTGCTTCTTTTCCTCTTCTTTCAAATGAGGTACCGTTTTTGTACTGGTGAAGGACTCTCGACTTAAGGAATTGGAGCTGTTCCTTATTCCTTGAATCAAACCTGATTACCTCCCATTTCTCAGATGCTGTATAACTCCTATGGATTCAGTACTTTCCCTACTACTATGCACCTATGCTCACTCCTCAGTGAAATTAAACTTTTTTAATGCATTTGTGAAATTTTATACGGTATAAGACATTTTAATAAATTTTATAATTAGTAATATTATATAGTCAGCATTTGGTACAGTATTATACTTAGCATAAGAAAAAAGTATTTTTTTAGTGTCTGAAACAGTTTTCTTTTCATTTGGTTACTTCATTTGGCTGCTTGTTAAATCTTAGTAACATGCTACAAAATATTTAATATTTGTGTTTGACTTTAACTTGAATATAAAGTGGTTTGGACAATGCTGGGAAAACTACCGTAGTTAAGCGTTTCTGTGGTGAAGATATCAGCACAATTTCTCCAACTTATGGATTCAATATAAAGACAGTGGAACACATGGTAGATAAGTATGGGTAAGTCACAACAGTTTTTGATTGCTTACTGCAGGATTTTACTTTTTTAATGTATTTTATGTCCTTGTAAATTTACTCACCTAGATTAAGGTTAATTATTAAATTTTAGTCAGAATACAATAATTCTGTGTTCTTGAAGGCCAAGGAAATGGGATTGATTATTGGTGTTTGGTATGATTTTATTAATGCAATTGCTGCAGTTTGCTTTGTAATTACAGGTGTCTCTCAACATTCGCGAGGGTTAGGGGATCAAGAGCCTCGCGAATGTTGAAAAACCGTGAATGTTTGGTGCCCCAATATATTGTAGGGAAATACAATACTGCTTAACTTGTTGAACCATGAACAATCATAAAATACATGAAAACGTCGTAAGTTGTACTAAATATATACATGTTATGCTTTAATAACATGTATGTTATTAAATACCACAGACTCCACCACTGCCTCCACCACTTCCTCAACCAATGCGAGTCCCTACTACCCTCCCTCCGACCCCCGCAACTGGCAGCCAGCCCTCCCACCACTCAGTGTGGTGAGTGTTTTGTTTGTTCATTATTTGCTATTAAACTACAGTATAAATAATGTAAACACATTCATGACTGCATATTGGAATGGCTATTTGAACAGGTATTGGACGGTGACATCATGTGTTTACTCTTGAACACAGCAAAGAATCAAACATTTCTGCTACTGCTAATAATAACAATAGTAATAATAATAATAATAATAATAATAATAATAATAATAATAATAATACGATATAATTGAAGAAGGAAATTGTACAAAAATACGAGGGAGTGGTTGACACATCGTCAGTGTGGCTTTGTTTATGCTGGAGTGAACATTAGTCTCCCTGCTCTTCCAAACATTTCACAATAATTCAGCGGTTGAGGCAGTGGTAGAGGCAGTGATAGAGGCAGTGATAGAGACAGTGATAGAGACAGTGATAGAGGCAGTGATAGAGGCAGTGGTATTTACTAACATATACGTATGTTATAAATAATAATAGTACATGTTAATATTAATAACATTTATAATAATAATAAATGTTATTCATAATGTACTATTATTATTTATAACATATATGTTAGTAAATATCACTGCCTCTATCACTGCCTCTACCACTGCCTCTACCACTGCCCCTACCACTGCCTCTACCACTGCCTCTACCACTGCCTCTACCACTGCCTCTACCACTGCCTCTATCACCTCTACCACTGCCTCAACCACTCCAGTCACACTCAATCTACAAGCACCAAACAATGAATTATTGTGAAATGTTTGGAAGAGCAGGGAGACTAATGTTCACTCCAGCATAAACAAAGCCACACTGACGATGTGTCAACCACTCCCTCGTATTTTTGTACAATTTCCTTCTTCAATTATATCGTATTATTATTATTATTATTATTATTATTATTATTATTATTATTATTATTATTATTATTATTATTACTATTGTTATTATTAGCAGTAGCAGAAATGTTTGATTCTTTGCTGTGTTCAAGAGTAAACACATGATGTCACCGTCCAATACCTGTTCAAATAGCCATTCCAATATGCAGTCATGAATGTGTTTACATTATTTATACTGTAGTTTAATAGCAAATAATAAACAAACAAAACACTCACCACACTGAGTGGTGGGAGGGCTGGCTGCCAGTTGCGGGGGTCAGAGGGAGGGTAGTAGGGACTCGCAGGTGGCGGGAAACTTGAATATGATTTGGCGGCTGGGAATTTGGTGGCTGGGAATTTGGCGGTTGGGAATTCGCGAATGTGTGAAGCCCGCGAAAGCTGAAAACGTGAATGTTGAGGGAGACCTGATTATCAATTTTGTACTGTGGTACCTCGAGTTACGATCCTAATTCATTCCAGAAGGCTGTTTGAGTGCCATACCGACCAAATTTGTTCCCGTAAGGAATAATGTAAATTAGATTAGACCGTTTCAGATCCCCAAAAATACACTTAAAAAAATACACTTACATAATTGTTCGAGTTGGGAGCTGTTCATAACTCGAGGTACCACTGTATTTGGAAAAATGTTAAATTTATAGAGGTCATACAGCACCTGGGAAATTAGAGGTATTCTTGGCTATTTTACTAGTATGCCTTCCTTTCTATTGATTGAGCATAGTTCCTTGGATCAAGAGGGGGGACCTGTCACAAGCCATGGGCTTTCTTTCTTCATGTAATAAGGTTATTAGATATAGTGATTGACAAACAAATACAAGTGAAGCTCAAGAAAGTTCAGAGACATGCTTCTAGGTGCTAGGTATAACTGAACTAGCTAGAGTTTATATCACTGGAAGAATGTAGAACAAGAGAAAACCAGATTGTGGCAGTATAATTTTTTTTACAAGAGTAGAATCTCCATAAAATGACCACAAAGATAATAAGGGGATATTAATAATTATGTCCTCAACCCTAGAGTACAGTATTAAACAAGTGGAACCTTGAAGATGTAGCTCATTCTCTGCAAACTCAGTTAGGTACTGTACTGTAATTATTTAAATGTATGTCTCAAACACTAGAACTCACCTCCCTTTCAGCTATAAGTTAAACATCTGGGACGTTGGAGGGCAGAGTTCTCTACGATCTTATTGGCGTAACTATTTTGAGTGCACTGATGGACTCATATGGGTGGTTGACAGTGCTGATGTTGATCGCCTAAGAGACTGCCAGGGAGAGCTAAGAAAGTTACTTGAGGAAGAAGTAAGTTAACTATCTTTTGGCACAATGTGTAAATACAGTGGACCCCCGCATAACGATCACCTCCGAATGCGACCAATTATGTAAGTGTATTTATGTAAGTGCGTTTGTACGTGTATGTTTGGGGGTCTGAAATGGACTAATCTACTTCACAATATTCCTTATGGGAACAAATTCGGTCAGTACTGGCACCTGAACATACTTCTGGAGTGAAAAAATATCGTTAACCGGGGGTCCACTGTAGCTTCCTGATAGTTGAGAAATTGCCTAAGTCCAGTTTCATTAATTTGTAATGTAGTTTCAGTTGTTATTGTTATTCCTGAATAAAGAATTGCCAATTCACTTGCACATTTTTGTTCAATTTGGGAGGGAAAGTAAATTATCAGTAGGCCTCATATGAAACAGAAGCCAAGGCAAAATATTGGGAACACATGATACTGTATTGTTATACTCATGAGAATTAATAAACCCATAGGGGTCAGCACCTGGGGAATGAGAGGTAATCAGATTTAATCCAAAGAGAGGGTAGCTCCAATTCTGTGGATCATGAGCCCTTTACCAGCATCAAGGCACTCCTTGAAGGGAGCACATGATGTGAAGTATGTTTAAAAACTTAAATTAAAAAAAAAAGACATATCCATGTGTTTTATTTGTAGACAAGACTTGGAAAATGATCTTCCCTGTAATAAAAAACAGGGTCTGTTAGATGTACTACTGTATATAGAAAATTATTAAGTATTGTCCTGTGTATGCACAGCTCAGCAGGTACCTCAGCCATGTTTCACCTTAATACATTTTTTTGCTTTCAGAGGCTTGCTGGAGCAACACTTCTGGTATTTGCAAATAAACAAGATCTTCCTGAAGCTCTTACAGATGAACAGATAAGAGATGTGAGTTAGTATTATATTCATAGTGTAATAAACCCATGTGGGTCATTCAGCACTGATGAGAATCACATCCCCTTTGTTTTAGTTCATCCTTGGCTGCAACAGTGGGTTAATGAGTGTGCCATAACATTCTTTGCAGTGTAGCCTGTATGAAAGAGGCATCAGATTGGCATGACTTAGCAAGGAATAAGATCATGGCTAGGCTGTTTGTTAGAATATGAAATATAATTTTGTACAACCAGCAGGCATGTGTGAGTGTGTTAGATAGGAGTGAGTGGAGGCAAATGGTTTTATGACTTGATATGCTGTTGAAGTGTAAGCAATGTAACATTTATAAAGAGATTCAAGGAAACCAGTTAACTGGGCTTGAGTCCTGGAGGTGGGAAGTACAGTGCCTGCACTCTGGAGGAGGGGTGGGGATATTTACAGTTTTGAACTGTAGTATCGGCACTCCTCTGACAAGACAGTGATGATGAAAGTGTTTCTTCTTTTTTTTTTTTGGGGGGGGGGGTCACCTAAGGTGGGATATGGGTGGTGTGTTAAAAAATGTTACGACATACAGTGGACCCCCGGTTAACGATTTTAATCCGTGCAAGAGGGCTCATCGTTATGCGAAATAATCGTTATGCGAATGAATTTTCCCCATAAGAAATAATGGAAATAAAATTAATCCGTGCAAGACGCCCAAAAGTATGAAAAAAATTTTTTTTTACCACATGAAATGTTAATTTTAATACACACAAACTGAAAAAGGCATGCACAGTTAAATGACACTTACTTTTATTGAAGATCTGGTGATGATTGATGGGATGGGAGGAGGGGAGAGAGTGTGTTAGTGTTTAGAAGGGGAATCCCCTTCCATTAGGACTTGAGGTAGTAAGTCCTTTTCTGGGGTTACTTCCCTTCTTCTTTTAATGCCACTAGGGCCAGCTTCAGAGTCACTGGACTTCTTTCGCACAAGATATCTGTCCATAGTGGCCTGTACCTCTCGTTCCTTTATGACTTGCCTAAAGTGTTTCACAACATTGTCAGTGTAATAATCACCAGCACGGCTTGCAATAGCTGTGTGAGGGTGATTTTCATCCATGAAGGTTTGCACTTCAAGCCACTTAGCACAGATTTCCTTTATCTTTGTAGTAGGCAACTTCTTCAATTTCTCTCTCCCCTCCTCTGAACCAGTTTCCTCAGGTCTGGCCTCTTGCTCTTGAAGTTGATCTATCAGCTCATCAGTGGTTAGTTCTTCATTGTCCTCCTCCACCAACTCTTCCACATCCTCCCCACTAACCTCCAACCCCAAGGACTTTCCCAATGCCACAATGGATTCCTCAACTGGCACAGGATTCTCAGGGTTAGCCTCAAACCCTTCAAAATCCCTTTTGTCTACACATTCTGGCCACAGTTTCTTCCAAGCAGAGTTCAAGGTCCTCTTAGTCACTTCCTCCCAAGCCTTACCTATAAGGTTTACACAATTGAGGATATTAAAGTGATCTCTCCAAAACTCTCTTAGAGTCAGTTGAGTTTCTGAGGTCATTACAAAGCACCTTTCAAACAGAGCTTTTGTGTACAGTTTCTTGAAGTTGGAAATAACCTGCTGGTCCATGGGCTGCAGGAGAGGAGTGGTATTAGGAGGCAAAAACTTCACCTTAATGAAGCTCATGTCCCCATAAAGTCGCTCTGCCACGTCTGTAGGATGACCAGGGGCATTGTCTAACACCAGGAGGCACTTAAGTTCTAATTTCTTTTCAGTTAGGTAATTTTTCACATTGGGGGCAAATGCATGGTGTAACCAGTCATAGAAAAATTCCCTAGTGACCCATGCCTTACTGTTTGCCCTCCACAGCACACACAAATTATCCTTGAGGACATTCTTTTGCCTGAACGCTCTGGGAGTTTCAGAGTGATACACTAATAAAGGCTTCACTTTGCAATCACCAGTAGCATTGGCACACATCAACAAAGTAAGCCTGTCTTTCATAGGCTTATGTCCTGGGAGTGCCTTTTCCTCCTGAGTAATGTAGGTCCTGCTTGGCATTTTCTTCCAGAACAGGCCTGTTTCATCACAATTAAACACTTGTTCAGGTTTCAGTCCTTCAGTTTCTATGTACTCCTTGAATTCCTGCACATATTTTTCAGCCGCTTTGTGGTCCGAACTGGCAGCCTCACCATGCCTTATCACACTATGGATGCCACTACGCTTCTTAAATCTCTCAAACCAACCTTTGCTGGCCTTAAATTCACTCACATCATCACTAGTTGCAGGCATTTTTTTAATTAAATCCTCATGCAACTTCCTAGCCTTTTCACATATGATCGCTTGAGAGATGCTATCTCCTGCTATCTGTTTTTCATTTATCCACACCAATAAGAGTCTCTCAACATCTTCCATCACTTGCGATCTTTGTTTCGAAAACACAGTTGAACCTTTGGCAAGAACAGCTTCCTTGATTGTCTTTCTGGTGCCCACAATAGTAGCGATGGTTGATTGGGGTTTCTTGTACAGCTTGACTAGGTCGGCTATACGCACTCCACTTTCATACTTATCAATTATCTCTTTCTTCATCTCTATAGTAATTCTTACCCTTTGAGGTGTAGGGTTGGCACTAGAAGCTTTCTTGGGGCCCATGGTCACTTATTTTCCAGAAACAGCACCGAAAATACTGTAATAATACGAAATATTCCGAGTGTATGCTTGGATGTTACCGCGGAGGCTGGCTGGTAAACAATGGGACGGGGCGGCACATGTGAGGCTGGCTGAGGGCACATTGGACGCGTCTCGGACGAAAATCGGTAAGCGGGTTTTTAATCGGTATGCGCGGCAAAAATTTTGCGATAAAAGTAATCGTTATGCGGAAAAATCGCTATGTGATGCCATCGTTATGCGGGGGTCCACTGTACTACGAAAATGGGTTAAATAATGTACAGCCTCTCCTCACTTAGCGACATAGTCTTTTACCAACAACTCGAGCCTACGATGGGCTCTCTGACCAGTATGCATGCCTAAATAATGCATATTAGAGCTGATTTCCTCTATTCTATTTATTACAATATACAATACACTTCTGTATAAACATTTAAAAATATACTAAAAATGTTATAAATAGTTCAAAAGTGGCATTAAAACAATATCAAAGATGGTTGACACAAACCTGCTACCATTATTGCTTAGTGAAGAATTCATTTACCGATGTGATCTTAGGAGCGGAACTCCATCGTTAAGTGAGGAGAGGCTGTATAGTAATGATAATCCAGACATTAATATACTGGTAAAATTGGCTATGCTACATGTTGTACTTTTTTACTGTATTGTAATACCATGTTTAACCCCTTCTCCTGTATAAATTACTAAATTTTAAAAAGAAAAACTTTCATTTTTCATTTTAGGTCACCCTGCCTTGGTGGGATATGGCCAGTTCATTGAAAAAAAAAATGCTGTATTTACAGAAAAATGTACACCAGAAGCTTTATAGGATTTAAATATGAATAATAAATACATATATTTTGTTATTAGATATCATTGATTGTTTCAGAGTAACACGTACTGTGCAGTATCTCAAAATATTTTTTTATCCTTGCAGATTTTAGACCTGAGTAGCCTCAAAACACATCACTGGTATATCTTGCCATGCAGTGCTGTTACAGGAGAAAATCTGGTTGCTGGTATTGATTGGCTAATTAGGGACATTGCAGCCCGAATATTTACACTCGAGTAATTTTATACATTATTTTTCATTGTATTGTAATTACTAATTAAAGCTGCTGTTTGACTAATTTACAGATGTCATATTCTGTGTTATTAAATTTTAATACCATTTTGCCTTGCACAATTATAATGCCTTGCACATTATATTCTCAAAAAGAGTGATAACTCCTTTGAATACCTTGTGTTTTGGTTATGGTGCTGCTTTTGTTTCAAAATGAAATTGGAATTGGAAAGTAAATCTTCTTTTGGTTTCACTTTCCTACAAAAGAAAATGGGCTGTGTAACTGTAGAGTCATTGTCTTTGGACTTTTTGGTTTTATTTAATGCATTGTTCAACTTATTGCATTTGTAGAAGTGTTAAACCCACAGGGGCCATACAGCGCCTGGGAAAGTGTTCAAATGGTATTTAATCTATAACAAAAATTATAATTATGGAAGCTAAGTTGCCAAAACTATCTTCAGTCTTCATTGTTATTATTGTATTGAAAAATGCTACTCATTTGGTCCTCAGTCCTAAATTTATATACTATGTATATTGTCTAAGTTTTTTAAAAGTTAGATTAGATAGTCTTGATTGTTTTCATGCCATATTGTTTATTCAGCAGCATTAGTATGCAAACAGTGTAAAAAATTCATATTTTTTATATAATAAATTGCTATGATTTGTTCCACTTGCTAAATTTCAGTGATTTAACCCTTTCACCGTCGATACCCTGATCACAAACTTGCTCTCAGTGTCGAAAAATATTCAAAAAGAAAAAATTTTTTTTCTTACCAAAATCTCAAGAATATTTTTCTGAGTGTTTTAAAAGAAAAAAATAAATTTTTGCACTCAGTATTTACTGAGATATAGAGGCATAAAGTTGACAGAAAGTGCACCGTTGATGGCAACGTTGGCGACTGTCGCTCACTCAGTAATATTATTTTTACTTTTATTCTATTTTTTCTTTTCTAATACAGTGGACCCTTGACTAATGATATTAATTGGTACCCGAGAGCGATTATTGTTAGTCGAGTTTTTTTAACGTTAGTCGAGGCAACATGTTAGCATTAACATGTATCGTTAGTTGAATTTAATGTTAGTCGATGCCATCGTTAGGCGAGGGTCCACTGTATTTTATTTTTTCAAGTAATTTTTGTGGCCTGTGAGAACAATGTAATGAATAATGTATATAGTATATCCACTTGTTGGCACCCTGCTGCCAATCCCAGATGTGGTCTGCTGCTGGGTACTGGATATTGCAGGTGGTTGTGGTTGTGCAGGTTGTTGGGGTGTGTGGGTGGTTGAAGGTGACCTTTGTTGTGGATGTGCTGAGTCAGCAGCATGGCTACCAGCCTGGGGTGCCACATGAAGCATTACACCACCACCTGCTGCTGCATATATATTATTTATCCTAATTGTCACATTACCCATTACCCATACTGTCTTTCCCACCACCCACACTGTCTTCCCTATCACCCACACCGTTTTCCCCACCACCCACACTGTCTTCATCTTCCCCGCCATCCACACTGTCTTCCCCACCACCCACACTGTCTTCCCATCACCCACACCATCTTCCCTACCTCCCACACCATCTTCCCCACCACCCACACTGTCTTCCCCACCACCCACACTGTCTTCCCCACCACCCACACTGTCTTCCCCACCACCTATGCTGGAAATAAGTCACTTTCACTTTTTTGGGTTATCCTAGGTTCTCTACACATATGCTGCTATGTATGATAATCTTTGTAACTGTATTTGTGTATGCCTGAATAAACTTACAGTCCGTCTTCCCAACAACCCATGCTGTCTTCCCCTTCACCCACACCATCTTCCCACCATCCATGCTGCCTTCCCCTTCACCCACACCATCTTCCCCACCATCCATGCTGCCTTCCCCTTCACCCATACCATCTTCCCCACTATCCACACTGCCTTCCCCACCACCCACGCTGTCTTCCCCACCACCCACGCTGTCTTCCTCACCTATGCTGTCTTCCCTTTTCACTGTATCTGGTATGCTGGGCATTGCTTTCAGTCAAAAACTCATCAAAACCACGAAATTCATCTTCACTGACACTTCCATCTGTGTTAGAACTATCACTTGGGAAGAGAAGAGTCCCAATTCGCCGGGGAGTCGGGTATTTCTTACCACTAGCATGGTGAACAAGGCATACTGAATTGGCACTCCCACAATGCACTGTGGCCTCCCAGATTTTTTTATACTGCACACACTGAGCACACAGACCCATTCTCTCACATATAGGCCTACTAGCTTTCTCCCACCAGATCTGAAGCTGCTAGAATTTTGCTGTGGTATTACAGGACCGACACTGGCTTGCAAGCTGTAATATTACGGGACCGACAGTGAAAGGGTTAATTAACAGTTGTATTAACAAATATGCACAAAACATATGTACTGCCATAAATTATTAAAAGATTTGTTGTAGGGCCACATCTGCCACAGATCTTTGAGTAAGACCAGTGCACCACACCACTCTACAGAGAGTGTTAGCTTCCTCACAGTCCATCATCTCTTAAACTTGTGAAATAAAGCTAGTTTAGAAATATTATTTATTATATTTAAAGAGAAGTGTTAAACCCATAAGGGTCATGCAGTGCCTGGTGAATGGGTGGCAATTAAATCTGATCCAAGGAAGTGAAGATTAGCTCCAGTTCCTTGGATCAGAAGCCCTTTAGCATCTAGAAAACACAGCCCTTTTAATCACCAGAAATATTAATGCCTGACCGATAAGCTCTGAAGTGAAGTTGACAGTATTTTGTCAAGGGTCTTTTTTTTTTTTTTTTTTTTTTTTTTTTGGTATAAGATATTGAGGGCAATAATTGTTTTGTTGAGGAGGTGCACGTGGGCAGCAGGTTGTGCATCCCTGAGGTATTGCATTATTTTTATGGAGAAGCACTAAACTTTTAGGGGGTTAATCACTGGGAAATGGGAGACAATCAGATTTGATCCAAGGAAAAGGAGGACAGCTTTGCTTCCTTGGATCTGAGCATTTCACCAACATCAAGGCTGGCACACCATTGCTTTACCTTGAAAATTAATGCATATAACCATAGGTGTAGGAATTACTTACATCCTTGTACAAAAGGCTAGTAAACTGTAACTACATTTTGCAATTTAATGTGATATACTGTATATATATCATTTATATGAAGGTTAACAATAAAGACATTAATTCACATTCCATAGTAATGTGTATTTTCCTTAGTTTCATTCTCCTTAGTAATTAGGCAGCTGTGAGAGAGAGATTACCTGGAGTACCTGGAGTTTACCTGGAGAGAGTTCCGGGGGTCAACGCCCCCGCGGCCCGGTCTGTGACCAGGCCTCCTGGTGGATCAGAGCCTGATCAACCAGGCTGTTGCTGCTGGCTGCATGCATGATATGCATGAAATAAAGAACCGATGCATCATCTTTTACTGGAGTATGAAATGTTTTGTAAATTTTTTGCTATTCTTGATTAATTAGATTCTAGGAAGGTGCTAAACCCATAACCCTATGGGTTTAGCACTTCTTGATTAAAATAAAATTCAAGGTAGGTGCCTTAATGCTGATAAAAGGCTCTTGATCCAGATAATTGGGTTAAATCTACTTAGATCAAATCTTATTATCTTCAATTCCCCATGTGTTGTATGACCCACATGATGGGCTTAGAACTTCAACATAAATGTAATAATAATGCTATTTAAGCCCCTCAAGGGAGGTTCCTTGATGCAGGTGAGGGGCTCTTGATCTAGGGAATTGGATCTGTGCTCCGGTTCCCTGAATTGAACCTGAATACCTTTCATCCCCGCTCCCCAAGCCACTGTATAATCCTATGGGTTTACCGCTCCCCATGATTATATAATTATACTATTTAAGGACAGCCCCTCAAGGTCCCTTGATGCTAGTGAGGGTTTTTGATTCACGGAGGTGCTATATAATCCCAATGGGTTTCGTTCTTCCCTAATTATAATTGCGGAAATTGGCCTATCTCTTCCTTTTGCTGTATAGTCCTTGTGGCTTAGCGCTTCTTTTTTTGATTATAATAATAATCTTCCCTTGGATCCAATTTGATTACGTCCCATTGTAATATCCTGCATGACTTCTACCCGTTAGTGTTTACTCCTTGATTATACCAATAAATCATAAGAACAATAATAATTAAGAACCCTAGAAAGGAGAAGCATCAATTAATTCAAGAACAAGTTATCAAGAACAAGTTATCAATTAATTCAAGAACAAGTTATCAAAGAGAAGCATTAATTCAAGAGCAAATTATGCAGCCAAGTTGTGATGATATTTCCCGCGAATATATCTCATTGGCTACGTCCGGTGTTTACTTTCCCAAAAACAACTAATTAACTTTCACGTTACAAGTCCTTCAGGTATTCACGCTGCTGTGATTGGCTGTTTGTCCACATCTAACTGAAGAGTTTCTAGCGTCACAGAGCAGCTGAGGAGTGACGTCACCTGGAAGTTAACACTTTAGCAACTCTGTCTTAAGACTTTCTGTTGACAACTTGATGATAAGTTGTGAAACACCTTGAATTACTTAAATTCTTTGTTCGCTGCTTCCTATAAACTCGAGGGACTAAATAAACGAAATATCTTGTCATATTATAATCATTAATTATATGATTATTGTTATTATTATTAATTATTACTGGAATGAGAATGGGGAGCTGTATCGATATTAAGACACTTTATGTAGTTCTTCAGCAAGAGAAGAAAGACAAAGATAGGACTACCCTCCACTTCCTTGGATCAAACTTAATTACGTCTCAATCCCTGTGCTGTAAGACGCCTTACAGGTTTAGTGCTTCCCCACGAATAATATATAACTTATTCTCTCAAGCTTTAACTTAACTTGTATTTTTCAATAAAATGTAGTAGTAGATAAAGAAAACATTAAAATATATTGAAAGAATTCCAAAACTGCAAGAATTTTTTTAATGCGTTTAGCTGATGATGATGCCATCTAGTGATAGAATTTATTACTTAAGAGACAACAGCAACTCATAAGAAGCTGTGTTACGTTGACTCTCCCAGTGGGCGGGGCCATGTCAGACTTTCTACTAATGGGCGGAGTCTTGTAAGACTACCAATTAAATGCTAACTAATTCTTGAGGCTAGTAACTACCCGGCTGGATGTATCAAAGCTCCGCCCACTGATGACGTCACATGGGTTCCTCAGCACAGTAACCTTCACTTACGTTGCTGTTCCTCGTTTCTTACTCTTGTTTATTATGACACAATGAGTGTATACGAGAAAAAAAACTAAATTTTATTCATCTTCCCACCAAATGAAACCTTACAATATATATATTGTTTATTGTAATGTTACATTATATATATATATATATATAATTATATATATATATATATATATATTATATATATATTATATATATATATATATATATATATATATATATATAACGGAGATAAAACACCTCAATTACTGGGAGCGCTTGAGGTTCCTAAAACCTGTATTCCCTGGAACGCAGGAGGGAGAGATACATGATTATATACACCTGGAAAATCCTAGAGGGGGAAATGTACCGAATTGCACACGAAAAACATCACTACGAAAGCAAAAACTTGGCAAAACGAAGCAAAAAATTTCCCCCAAAAGAAAAAACAAAGGGGTTTTCACTAGCACGTTAAGGACCCCTAAAAAAGTGTTTAGGGGGCCCAGACTGTTTTAACTGCCTCCCCCGATACATAAGGGGGATTACCAAAATGACCCCTGGCAGGCTTCAAGCCCGGCACTGGACAAAACACCCCAAAAATTTGGTTTTTCCTTGGGGCCCGCCGGGCTGTGGCTCCTTTCGTTGGTTTGGTGCAGAGCAGCAACAGCCTGGTTGATTTAGGCTCTGGGTCCCCCCAAAGGGGGGCCGGTCACAGACCGGGGCCCCCGGGGGGCGTTGACCCCCGGAACCCCTCTCCAGGTAAAAATTCAGGTTTTAGGGGAGTTAAAAAAATTTTGTTTAAAATTTTTTACTGTACTTGATTATTATTTAAACAGATGATATAAATAATTTATCAGTTGGGGGGAAATTTTTACCCTTAAAAGGGCAAAACAATCAATGACCATTTACTGGAGAAGCGTTAATTTAAAAAAAAAGATATTTAAAAACAAGCTGTTGGAAAATATTCCTTTTGAATTTAACTGATTGGGCCCGCTTCCCAAAGTTTATTTTACCCAAAAAGGGAAACCAAAATTTGCGTTCGCTTTAAAAAGTCCTTAGGTATTCACTCGCAGAAATAAACTTAAAACCCTTTTCCGTGGGTTTGGGTATTTGTTGCATGTAAATGGGAAAAGGGTTTTACCCAATTAAAAAAGCGAGTGAGGAGTGACGTCCTGCAGCACCCTTTTTTCCCCATGAAAATTTCTGGGTTGGGCCCAAATTCATGATAAAAAGTGAAAAAAAAAAAATCATGATAAACAGTGAAAAAAAATACCTCGGGAAACCTTCCTAAATATAAAAATTTAAAAATATCGGGAATTTGCACTCACACTTGCAAAAAAAAAAAATTAGTTTTATTTTAATAATGAAAAAAAGTAATTATTATAATTTATGGGGGGGCGCTAAAAACCCGGGAAAAATTTTATTTTGCGCTTGGGGGGGGCTTTAAATTTTGGGAAGGGGAAAACCCCAGATCCAATTTCCTAGGGTCAAAGCCCCCCTCACAAGGAACCCCAAGGGGGGAAACTTTTTCCTTGGGGGGGCGGGAAGGGAAAGAAGTTTTTTTTTTTAAAAATTTTGCCTTTGGCCCCCTCCAGTGGACATGGGGCTACTTTGGGGAGGGGGGATAATGTAGGGGGGTTTTTTGGTTTGGGGCATGAAAATAGTGGAGAGGGTTCTCAGTGACAAAGACTAGGGATTGGCTGTCTTTAGTGACATGGGCTAGTGGATGAGGGGTTTTCTCAGTGACAACTAGTGGATGAGGCTTTTTTCTCAGTGACAGGGGTGTGGATGAGGCTGTCTCGTGACAGATATGGTTTAGGCTGTCTCAGTGACATGACTAGTGGAAGAGGCTGTCTCAGTGACAGACTAGTGGATGAGGCTGTCTCAGTGACATGACTAGTGGATGAGGCTGTCTCAGTGACATGACTAGTGGATGAGGCTGTCTCAGTGACATGACTAGTGGATGAGGCTGTCTCAGTGACATGACTAGTGGATGAGGCTGTCTCAGTGACATGACTAGTGGATGAGGCTGTCTCAGTGACATGACTAGTGGGTAGGGCTGTCTCAGTGACATGACTAGTGGGTGGGGCTGTCTCAGTGACATGACTAGTGGGTGGGGCTGTCTCAGTGACATGACTAGTGGGTGGGGCTGTCTCAGTGACATGACTAGTGGGTGGGGCTGTCTCAGTGACATGACTAGTGGGTGGGGCTGTCTCAGTGACATGAACAGGGGGTGGGCTCTGTCTCAGTGACATGACTAGTGGGTAGGGTTTGTCTCAGTGACATGACTAGTGGGTGGGGCTGTCTCAGTGACTGACTAGGGGGTAGGGCTGTCTCAGTGACATGACTAGTGGGTGGGGCTTTTCTCAGGGGACATGACTGGTGGGTGGGCTGTCTCAGTGACATGACTAGTGGGTGGGGCTGTCTCAGTGACATGACTAGTGGGTGGGGCTGTCTCAGTGACATGACTAGTGGGTGGGGCTGTCTCAGTGACATGACTAGTGGGTAGGGCTGTCTCAGTGACATGACTATTGGGTGGGGCTGACTCAGTGACATAACTACTGGGTAGGGGTGTGCCAGTGACATGACTAGTGGGTAGGGCTGAGTGACATGACTAGTGGGTGGGGCTGTCTCAGTGACAACTACTCGGTAGGGGTGTCCCAGTGACATGACTAGTGGGTAGGGCTGAGTGACATGACTAGTGGGTGGGACTGCCTCAGTGACATGACTAGTGGGTAGGGCTGTCTCAGTGACATGACTTGTGGGTGGGGCTGAGTGGCATGACTAGTGGGTAGGGCTGTCTCAGTGACATGACTAGTGGGTGGGGCTGTCTCAGTGACATGACTTGTGGGTGGGGCTGAGTGGCATGACTAGTGGGTAGGGCTGTCTCAGTGACATGACTAGTGGGTGGGGCTGTCTCAGTGACATGACTAGTGGGTGGGGCTGTCTCAGTGACATGACTGGAGTTTACCTGGAGAGAGTTCCGGGGGTCAACGCCCCCGCGGCCCGGTCTGTGACCAGGCCTCCTGG